TCGATGTCCTATAGTGACTGATTTTCTCAGAAACTTACTCTTAAGTAGTATTTGATTAATAATTTATATAAATATTTCTCTTAATTTAATTGATTTAAATGTAATGTTTAAATAAATATTTATATGTTTTTTCTTTTTAGAATGATCTATCAAATTTGAAATGTTTCTCATTAACATGTTTTATTCCAACTAATGCATATGATAATCGATTAATACCTTTACTTCGTCGTATGACATATTTGGAAAAATTAACTCTATATATTCGTCTTGTAGATCGATCTACATTTGTTGATGGTACTCATCTACACAATGAAATTCTCATGCATATGTCTCAACTTCATAGATTTAATTTCTATATTAGTACTCAAATTCCAATTGATGATTCAGTTCATCGTTTATCAGATGATAATATAAACCAAACATTTAATAATATAGGTTATTATCAAACATCTTGTATTGTTGATTATTATTGTTCATTACATGCAATATCTCATGTTTTTTCACTTCCATTTTTATTTAATCGTCTTGAAATGATTACCAATAGATTTTCATCTATAATATTTTCTCATGTTACTTACTTGCAAGTGGTTGATACAATTCAATTCAACTATAGCTTTTTCATTCGAATTACTAAAGCTTTTCCATTGTTGAAATATTTTACTATTATTAATGTGATGTCACCATTATGGAATTTTGAGGAATATGAAGCTGATTATATTCAATCAAATTCAATTATTATATTTCCTCATCTTATTTCACTTAATATGAAGATTTTACATGAATATTATATTGAACAGTTTTTACTTGATACAAAAACTCATATACCACGTTTAATCGAATTGAAACTATATTATGAAAGTTTGGAAAATGTAACAGAGAAATTTACAAGAAATGCAACACGAAACAACTGTGCTAATGTAAAACGAATAATCTTTTGTGACAAACATAATTATTCAAATGAACTCTATGTCTATTTTCCTTCCTTAGAGATTGTTTCTTTTTCTATTATTTGACAAAAATAATTGTGCTAAAAATTCTCATATTATATTCTTGATATCATGAACTTGAAATAAAAATCAATTATTAATAATTGCCCTCTCTTTCTTTGTATTTATAGAAGATACTTCTTGTAAGTAAGATAATTAGTTTGTATTATTTATTTTTTAGAAAACAACAACTAATTATTATCAATATTTTACAATTTTTAAAGAGTTAACTTGAACATGTTTCTCCTTCTCTAGCTAATGATCCATTTATTTTTTTCCTTCGTTTTGCTTATTAGTATTATGAAACTCAATAATTGAAGAACTCGTTAAAATTGAAATTTTGAATATTTTTTTTCATTTAGTTACCTATTCTTTATGGTTCTAGATCAAAACTGCACTGTTGAATTTGATTTGATCCGACTGAATTTTGTTTGAAATTCACAGAGAAGTCCAAAACGAGATTTGTTAACTGGATCTTATCAGAATGACGATTATTCCAACATTTTCTATCATTTGGATCTGACTAATGGAATGTTGTTCTACAATTTCACCAATCTCAGACAGGTTTTAGCTGCATTTTGCCAGACCGGACTAATTTTCTGATAGGATCGAAGAATTGGATAATTTGTCTTAGTGTTACTATTTTTCATGTGTCCTTGTATCAATAAAAGATTTCTGATAAAAACTTTACTGTTCTAGCATGATTGAGATAAAATTCTAGCATAATACCAGATTTTATGTCTTTTAAAAAAGCTTAATATCCGTATGTTTGAACTCATTGTGAATGATTTCTTTGTTGGTAGTTGAATGCAGTGTTATATTAGGCTTGTATTGACTCATAATCTAACAAATACATTCTACGAAGTAAAATGATAACTGTTATCGAATAGACATTTAATATAGAATGAGTTTTCTATTAGACGCAAATAGTGAACAATGAGCATCTGTGTCATTTTCTATCTTATTGTGTCTTTAACAACTTCGTTTTCTTTTCTGTTGAAATAGATTTATGTTCTTTTCTAAAATTTTCATAGAGATACAAAAATCTGCTGATAGAATCAAAAATTTCTATTTGAGTTCCGCTGTTTTAATGCCAGAATTATGTAGATACTAAATAGATTCCACAGTAAGTTTTTGATAGATACTAAAAGAAAATTGTTGAATCTCTCTAAGAACCATTTACCCTAATTCTTTTATACAAAGCTTATCCATCTGTTATTATTTTATCGTCAAGTATCGTTTTTTGGTACTTAATTCGTATTAAGCTTCATTTGGAAAATCGGTTTTTGGATCAAGAATATTTAAATCGCTTGAAATTTTCGAGATATGTTAAGACTGTAACGGAGAAATTATGATGGGATTTTTTAGCTTGATACCATAATGTTTTCATGAAATACTCATCAAATAAGAGTCACAAATAGCTAATTGAGCAAACCAATACTTTCCATGAGGCATTCATTCTATATATTTTATTTTTTTTAAAGAGCATTTCAGATGACATGGCCTAACAGAGTTCTTTTTTAATATTCTTACTTTCTGGTTGGAAGGAAAAAACGACAAGCCCAGTATCAGAAAAAGCTCTAAAAAATTTGACACTTTTTTAAATCTATTTTAAGAAAATTTTTTTATAGTGTTGGATTTGTCACCTTTTTTTTCTTCCGATCAGAGAGTAAGGTTTAAAAAAAAGACACTGTCTGATGCTTTCGCCTGACATGCTCTTTCAAAAGAAAACAATGGAAAAATAAAATATATAGAGCGAAGGTCTTGTGAAGAGTATTGGGTCACTCAATTAGTTATTTGTGATTCCTGTCTGATGACTGTCTCATGGCAACATTACGATATCAAGCTGAAATTTTCAAGCGATTTGAATGTTCCTGGCCCAAAATTGATTTTTCAGTTGGACTTAAAGCTACCTACGGACAAGATCTGGATTTTTCTAGGCTCCCATTGTAATAAATTGATCGTTTAATATCACTTCAACTTGGAATTCTTATATTAATTGAATAGAAACAACATTTAATCTAGCAATTGATCATTCTCGAATGCCTTGAGATAAGCAGTTTCTATTGTTCGACGTCAAAACTTATTGACAAAATGATTTTCTTTCAAATCGAAGATACAACCGAATAATCTTTATGAAATAATCCAATGAAAAAAAAGTGTCTTTTAAGAATAAGCGATTACTACATAACTTTATCAATGAGGTTTATTAGTAAAATAAATAATACCTACATTTTGTATTATTATCAATGATTTTTTTTTTCTTTAATTTGACAGATTTTAAGTTGTTGATAGACATGTTGCAGACAGATATCATTTTTCATCAAAACTATTCATAGTTTTTGTTTGACGCTATATTTTAGTTATCTTGAATATTCTGAAAAATGACAATGAACAGAATACAATTATCAGCTGGCAATCATCCTAAAATGTTTACAATATATATATAAGTCATATCTCAATTGCTTTCTTGATTATGATAGATAATCTGAAAATAAATTGACTACATTCTGTTTTACATCAAATAATTATTATATGATCAACTGTTGATTATTATTGCTTCAACGTATAATAAACCCGCATAATGAATCATCTGACTTGATGTTCATTGGTTATATTTGTAAAATAAAATCTGAATGAATATTGTCAGTTGTCTTTGATCTCTCCCGTCTTATAGCAGAAATAATAATAATAATAATAATAATAATGAAAAGAAAAGAAAAAAAAACGATGAAAAGAATAATGTACACAGAAGAAGAAAAAGACACGTATTACATCCATACGCTCTATTCTCTGGGCGAACAAATTGTAATCGAACCACAGGTAACAACAGCGAGAAAATAAAAAAATAAAAACGAACAAACAATAAGAATACAACCGTTATCATATACTGATGTTGATGATGATCAAATGTAATACAATAAGCAATTTGTGAAAGACGCGCGACCCCAAAAAAAAAAAAACATAAGAGGAACTATGTACGAGTAATAAATATTTTTCTAAAAAAATGAAACGAGTCGTGTCGTACATATTTACAACGTCATTCCCATACGTTGCAATGCTAATAAAGCATTAACTGCTTTCTAAAAAAAAAACAAAAAAGAATTAAAAAGAAATCAACTTATGAATAGAATTGTTTAACCTGCCAACGTCGTCTTATAACAAATCTACGTAGTTTTTTGGTAGATAGTTGCTTTTCAGCTAGTTCTTCCTCGCTTGGGACACTTATTAATTTTGGTCGACGAATTAACCATGGATGAGCAAGACATTGTCTTGCTGAAAGGCGTTTACTATACGAAAAAAAAAGAGAAAATAAAGTTAATATAAATATTTTTTTTTCTTTGAATTTCTACTCTTTATCTTTGACGAGTAATTTTGAAATAAAATCTTTTGCATCTTTTGATATATCTGTAAATGATTCATCATCAAAATCATAACTAGCTCGATTTATATTAGCATATGTATCATTATCGCTTTCACCCATAAATGGACTTAAACCTGATAATCTAAAAGAACAAAAAAAAAGTTCAATTTCTATTCTGTAATTTTATTTTTAAATTACTTACAAAACATAACAAATAACTCCAACAGACCTAAAATAAAAAACAAACAAACAAACAAATAATCGATCTAATTTATAAATAACTAATAATCCTACCACATATCTGTACCAAATCCAACTCTATCAAAATTAATAACTTCTGGTGCAACAAATTCAGGTGTACCAAATAAAACTTTTAATTGTTTACTTGGATCAAATTTTCTTGCAAGACCAAAATCAATAATTTTTATTCTATGACCACCTCGATTAACACATAAAATATTTTCCGGCTATATAATCAAAAAAAAAACAAAAACAACTTAAATAAATCTTCGAAAAATAATTAAACAAACCTTCATATCAAGATGAACTATATTACATGAATGCATAAAACTAACACCTTCACATATTTGCATCATATATAATTCACAAAGACGTTCAGTTAATATAAAACCATCATCAATAACACGTTCAAATAATTCTCCACCACTAATTCTAAAAAAAATAAAGAAAAAAAATTTTTGTTTTGAATAAAAAAATTCAATTTTAATTTTAATTTTTTTTTACAATTCCATAATAAGACAAATATTTCCTTTTGTTTCAAAAGCATCATAAAGTTGTAGAAGACGTGGATGTTGAAGTGCTTTCATTATTTCAATTTCATTTAATGCTTCAATACGATCTTGTTCTTTATTTAGTTGAATAAATTTTGCTGCTAATAAATGTTGAGTTGATCTTTCACGACATTTTTTAACTTCACCAAATTTTCCTCTAAATTTAAATATTATTTTTTCGAATAAAAATTTCTTTTTTATTGATTTTACCTTCCAAGAATTTCCATAAGTTCATATTCATCTGTAACTGATTTATTTTTTTTTATTGTTACAATACGTGGTGAAAATGGTGGATCGACATCTAGAACACATACATATACATACGTATGATCTGATTTTCAAGACAAATTTTTATTATTACCATCTTCTAATACAACATCATGAAATGTATGATGACCACGTTGTTGCAGTACATCGGGCCTAGAAGAAAACAGAGAATGAAATTTATTTTATCATAATCATTATTTTTAACTCACATAGGAATTAATTCTATGAAGAAGGAGACAAAAAAAAAACGAATCAGTCTTTTTGTTTTGTATTACGGCATACACGCAATAATAAATGTTTGTTATCGTACAAATGAGAAGAATAGAACAAATCGAGAGAAGAGAATTAAAAACAAATAATAGACACCGAAGATTATGATATATATAAATATCTTTGCACAAGTTGCATACTGATAACATCATATCACATAAGCGAGAACATAATGTTATGTCTGACATGTACATGAGATTACTGAATAACAGAGTGACGTTTATGAGTCAAAATATGTACAAAATGATTTTGTAAGAAATCTTAGAATACATGAATAGTTCTAATAGAACTATTCACACATACCTATGAAAATATTTGGTTTTTTTTTCTTTGATACAAATCATAAAATATAAAAAAACAATCAAATCAAATATAAAAATCTTTTTTTTCATAATCCTGTATATATGAAATAAGACAGATGATTGTATTTTCCTTATTGATTAACTTACTATAGTATATATGTGATTAGTAGAGCGAAGCGTTAGTATGTAAATATATATGTATTTGTTACCCGTAAAGTCGAATAAGTGAATCTCTTTTGTATTTTAATGGTAGATTTGTATTTATAGTTATGATTTCTGTTATTGAATTTTGTAATAAATTTGTTTCTGATAAAATTTTTTCCGAAGTTGATATTTGACGATATTGATCAATTAAATTAACATCAGATGAACAAAAACGATTTGTTAATGTAGATGTTTGTATTTGTTGTTGATGTTGTTCAAAATCTTCATTGATTGAACATAATGGTACAATAGTTGATGGTGTTGAAGAAATTGTACGAGTAAATGTAGTAACTGGTGGAAAAGGTGAATTAGCTCGTTTAAAAGTATTTGTATTAGAAATAAATTGACGTTGTTTTTGAGTTGAAGCTATTGTTGGACGAGCAAAACCAGGAGGTGATGGTGCATTCGATGATGATGAATATGATGATGAACAAGTTGAATCTGTTGTTGCACTTGTACTTGAACGTGATAATGTTACAGATTCTTTATTAGCATTATTAATCACAGCAACCATTCTATGTACTGTAGAATTAGTATCAGTTTCAATAATTTCGACCTGTTGTTTTTGTTGTTGAGATATTTGTTTAAGTTGAGACCATGTTTTTGTTAAAGGAGTTTTTGGACTAACAGGTGGTGGAATAGGTCTATTATGATTAGCTATTTTTTCACAGATAATAATTGGTTGAGGTTTATTATGATTATGATTATGATTATGATTATGATTATTATTCTTTTTTGAAGTAAATGGAATAGGAGAAGAAGTATCAACAACGACAATTGGTGGAGTTCGTGGAGAATTTCCATTTTTTCTTGTACCTTCCCATTGTTTAACAAAAACGCTGCGAATTGGAGAAGATACTTTTGTATGATTATTCATTGATGATGAAGCAGCTTGTGATTCAAATTGACGAATTATATTAGCAACCCGAGATGAAAGTACACGATTTTTAAATAGTTGACATTGAATTTCTAAATGAATTGGTGATGATTCGACTAGTGATAATGATGATTGTGAAAGTTGTAAAGTTGATAATAATGATGAAGATGATGGTACAGATTGGGGTCGCAGAAAAAAAGGGGTTGACTGTTTGTTATTGTTACTATTCGTCGTCGTCGTCAAATCGTTCACGGATGTCCAACGTTGGATGAACGTTGATGATGACATTTTTTTTTTCTCTCTCTCTTTCTCTCCCTCCCTCCTTTTTTTTTTCTTCCTATGTTCAATGTAGAACAGTAAAAATTATTACAGCAAGCAACGAGCACACCACCATGTTGATCGGTATCATCGACTACGACGACAATAATAAAGAAGAAGAAGAAGAAGTACGTAACATAGTACACACGTGCATTTATGTGTGTCAACTTCAACCTCCTGCACACATTGTATAAAAATATTCGTCGGTTACTCGAAGGAGAAATCAACCGTATGCATAAGTCGTTAAAAAAGAGAAAGAAAGGATGGATAAAAAAAAAAAAAAAGAATTTAATGTATAATAAAATGGTGATAATGGTTCTCTCTACAAAAACAGAAAGAAAAAATAAAATAAAATAAAAAAAAAAAAAAGGTATGATTGAAATAGACATAACCATCTGACGATGTTTGCATGTCATAAATATATTTTATAATAACAAGTGATCTCTTTCGAAAAGTATTTAAATATTTGATTATATAAAAACAAATGCATAATAAGATGAAACAAATTTGTATATGAAATAAATAATTTGAAATGAACTCGTCTGAAGCCTTTTTCTTTTTCGAATGTCTACTTGTGTCCTTCGATACTCTTTTATTTGGTTTGTTAACATTGATTTTTTCTCATGTGAGTCATTAGATAGAAATATCTGTGTGCTCGATTGCCCGCCAATAAAGGTCGTATTATTATGCATAATTCATACGCCAAGGTCAAGGCTATTCTATGAAGTGATGACGGCGAATTGAACATATTCATTGCTTTTCGATATCGAAAGTATAATTTATATTGATCTTTGTTTTTTTTTTTCTTCAAGAGAAGAGAGAAAAAAAAACAGTATGCTGGAAAGTATCATATTACACCATATAGAAAGAAAATAGAAGGAAAAAAAAATGCTTGTTTTTATATGTATTGATGATAGACAAATGGACACATCCTACAGATAAGGTGCATCAAGAAATCATAGAATCGAATAATTATAGATATATTTCAAATAATTTTTTTTTCAAATCTAAGTATTATACCTTATTAATAAGTAGAATTGAAGGTAATCTCATTAAATAAGAAAAAAGATAATAGGAAAAGAATTTAATCTTACTGTTTTGATATCGTAGTCGATGATGTTACAGGTTGATGTTGTTGTTTATTTTTATTTGCTGTTGGTGTAACATTATCTGATGTTTTTGATAATTGTTTTTTATTTAATGGTTTATCTTCTTGATGTTCGATTTTAGTTTCAGTTTTAATTATATTTGATGGAATATTTGATTGTTTAATAGAATGTATTGATGAAACAATTCGTTCGGGTATTTTCGCTATACTTGAACGTTTAAGTTTAGAAGATTCTAATAATTTATTTTGATTTGTTAATATTAAACTTGATCGTCGATCGGTAGGAACAGGTGCTAAACTCGCTCTTTTTAATTGATTCAATGATTTTGATGTTGAAGATGAAGAAATAGAATTAATCGTTTCATTTGATTTCATAAGATTTGAAGATTTGGAATGATTGACGTTCAATTGAAAAGAATTACTTACTTCACTATGTGTTGATGTCGATACAAGTCCAATCGTAGACTTACTTTTTATCGAATTTTCAAGAGATTTTTTTATTGATTCTGGTGTTTTTGATGATGATGTTTGATTAAGATTATTTTTATTTGTTTCATTTTGTGAACGAAAATCACTCACTGTTTTGTTTTCTGTTAAAGTAGATGTTCCTGTATTAATCGAATTTTGCTCAGTTGATGGATTTAATGGTCGTTGAGGTTGTTTATTTGAATCTTTAGGTTTTAATTGAATACCAAATTTATTGGCTACCTTATCTTTATTAAATGCACCAAGACCCGGTGTACCGCTCATTTGTTTATATTAAACGATCTTTTTTTCTTTCTTTCTCAAACTACCAACGATGATTTCATCAGTTGTTGTTGCTGTCTTTTGTATACGTATCTTTACTGAGAATAATCTATCTCTCGCATTCTTATTCCTAAGAATAGAACCAAAAACAAGCATCCTTATAAAAAAAAAAGGCAAGCAATTCTTTTCTTATTGACTGTAGAAAAAGACGAAGAAATATCTTCTTTTTTTTTTTTTATATTTTTTTCCTTGTTCTTGTTTCTCTCTGATACTTATGTGCAAAGTACTGTCGTGATATCGAACTACGTACAAAACAGAAAAACAAGAATAGGAAAAAAAAGGAGGCCTTGGTGCTAGTGTTAAATGGCAATGGATGATATTACTGTGATTGTGATTATGCGACATCAATGATGGTGCTTCTACCAGCACGTCTTTATCATTAGACGTACATAGAAAAATCATAGAAATAATCTTGTTTTACGATAATAATAGAATTTATTTTTCTTTTCTTTTTATTTTATCAAGAAATAATCTTTAGAGACTTTTATAATAAATAAATTCATTTTAATTCACTATCACAATAATCAAAAATTAGTTCAACATATTGTTTGTTTCATTTCCAGATGATATTTATCGTAAAGAATCTTTATATAGTAAACAATATGTCAGCTGCTTCTTCTTATTCCACAAATAGTCAAACAAGTTTTATCTGTAACGACATTCATTTGATTGTTCTATACAATGCATCAGATGAAGTATGCTTTTCTTTTACCGAAATTTGATAAACTCGAACTATATTTGATTTATATTTATCTATAATTCTTGATTATTCTAGAAAAATAAAAATAATGTATTCTCTGATAAATGTTCATTCTATTGAACTATGAACACATATTCCATAGAATTATCAATAAATTAAACCTCTGTCATTGACTTATTTGGCTAAACATCAATTATTATAGAAAGAACAATATCAATCAATCAAATCATATATTTAGACATATGTTTTATATATATCTATATATATATATATATAGACTCAATGAAAACTTCTACTATTGACGATTGATTGCTTAATAATATTTTCTGATAGTAACGGTCAATTATGCATGAAGATAACTAGAACAGAATAATACAAATTTTTGTCTAAAGGAATTTGATCAGTGTAAATAATTAAAATGTTTTTAATGTATATAAAAACAAAAATTTCGGTTATATCTATCAGTTATTAAATAATTTCTTTAATAGGATTCAAAAGATTTGTTAATCAATATGAACTTTATAGAATCAATCAACAGTTGTTTATGTCATTCATATCTGTCAAATGTTATCAATCTATTATAAAACGCCCTAAGGGTACAAATTTGTCTCATAAGAATAATTTCTTGTATTTTTTATAATTTATTCTACTGTTATGTCTAATGTCAATCGATGAAGATATGTCAATTTTTCACTGTTCTTTATCTATCTATTAGATTTTAATTTTAAAATTTTTCTTTTCGATTTCTAATTTCTTTATTTTTATATATAAATAAAATGAACCTTTTATTGAATGCCAAACATACATATTATTTCCCTGTTTTTGTTTTGCACATATATGTAGAAAAAAGAAAAAAGAAAACTGCTCAGACAATAACCACGGTCTACATTCAGCCGGGTGAAAAAAAACCAAAACAAAGAAAAAAAAAAAGAAGAAAACAACGTTTGAAGAGAAATAATGACGTAGAAAGAGTAGGAAAGAGGAGAAGAAATAGAGAAATAAGAAAACAAATAAGTAAAGGCAAAAGAAAACAACAAGTATAAATAATAGCTGAAATACACACATATTAATATTATCTTATTTTTTCTCTTAATATCTCTCTCTCTGTCACTCTCAATCTCGTCGAAAAAAAAAAAAACGAAGATTAATGCAATGTAAATATGCGATTATGTTTATCAAGCTGAATAAGTGGTACCATCCGAAGTTGTAATCGATGTAGCCGTTGATGTTGGTGTTGCATAGGTAAATAATGGTGATTCTGGACTAGTTGGTGTTGATGATAATTGTGGAATTGATGTTAATGGTGGTGTAAGAATAAATGGAAATGGAAAATTTCCTTGTGGATGTGCATGAAAATATTGTTGAGCTTGACCAGGATTATTTGTTGTTGTAAAAACTAATGGTTGTTGAGCAAATTGTGGATTACCAGCTGGATGTGCAGCAACTAATGGATGTGGTAAAAGTGTTGCTGGTTGAAATATTGGACCACCAGGATGAAAACCAAATGCTGTTGGAGCAAATGGAATCTATTTCAAAATTTTTAAATTCAATACATTTATTTATTTATTTATTTATTAATATTTATTTATTTAATATACAAAATAAAAGACAAAATAATTATTCGCAGAATAGGACACGTGCAGCTGAATCTAACTTGACTTGTAGTTTGTTTTAGCAAAAAAAAACATAATAAATTTTAAATCAACATGCATTTTTTACTTTCTTATATCAAATTTCTATTTATATAAATCGAAATCATTGTTTGAAAGAGAAAAGCGATGAGAAATTTCGGTTCTTATATGATCAATACCCAATTATCTGGCATTATTATAGAAGAAGCTTTAAGAGAAATAAAATTCAAAGTATTACTCATGAAAATCATATTAGAGAATACATTTAAACAATTAAATCATTAAATAACAAATTTTCTTTTTTTGTTTTGATTTTCTTACTCCTCACACAGGTGTAGGACACTGAAAATAAGTTTATGTTGTATTTCGATTTGTTTGTTCATTATAAAGAATAAAAAAAAAAAGCCCTTGGAGAATATTACCTCTTCAGGCTGATTCGGCTGCTGCTGCAGAGTTTGTTGTTCTGGTAAAATAAACTGAGAATGATTGGAATCGATCATCATTATCGATGGAGCGGTGGTACTAGCAGCAGAGCCGTACAGCGCATCGTATGTCTCTTTGTAGAGATCTTCGAGACATTTCTCCTACGATGAAAATTACAACAAAAAAAAACAAATATCAACTTAGCCATGCGTAGCATTAAATCACACAATATAAAACACATGCAAAATTTATATTTATGTTTTCTTTTTAATAGAAATAAAAAAAAATAACATACGTCTGTTCGACGTGACGTTGGTCGAAGAATTGTATAATAAGCACCACGATGATGAACAACAGTTGGAGGTGGTTGACTTGGACGAGAAGATGTTGATAGAACACCGGTAGGTGCTGAAGGTACATTTCGATTTATTGTTGGAGGACTTGTATTACCATTTGTTGATAAACGACCGGTAGCATTTATACATCGACGAATATTTCTATTATGATATACATATCAAATATGTTTTTATACTCATATTAGATTTGTTTTTTTTTCCTTGAATTATTTCTTTACAATTAATATAAGTAAGAACACGATTAAGTCTATGAATAATGTTTTCATCGAATTAATTTCTTTTACTATTGCTTATTGTAGAAATCTTATCTCTTTATCGACATAATTAGTCTTAATAATAGTTTTGGAAAGTGTATCTCTAATTATGATGTTTTAGTATAGTACAACATCTAGTAATGAATACTATCTATTATATCGAAATAGAAACTATCAGTGATGTATTATGTCTTTATATATATATATATATATATTTATATAATTATATCAAAGACATTTACATTTGAAATATGACTTCCAATCAATCTGTGATAATAATCATGTTGTTTATCGTGCCTTAACCACTACTATAAAGATAATATTAGTCTTCAGGAGTCTTTTATCGGATGAAATTACAAATGAAATTTCGTATTGAGAGACAACCGAAATTTATCTTCTTATATCGTAGAATTCATTCGAGCTACACGAGAAAAATCATTCGCGTCACTCTCGACTAAATTATTTGCCATTAGGGATATGCAATTTCAGTAAACTATTCATCGAAAACTCACACTGACTCGGTATTCACTGATTTACCTGACATATTCATACTGTATGAATGGGTTAATATTTCAGTGAATACCGATCCAATGCAGGCAGTAGACTCACTGTTAGTATTTTCATCGAAATTGTACATCCCTAATTGAGATACCAACTTTATCAAAATATGTCCTTTTCGTAGCGATGTTTTCTAATGTTTCAGTGAACACCAGTGCTAGTGTGTCATTGTGCACTAACAACACTAAGTCAGTGACATCGAAGGTCAATAAAATGAAATTCAACACATCTATTTGCTGTCATTTCAATTAGTTCTTTCCGTTGTATATATGAAAACTAATTGTGAAAGATAAAATTGATATTTTTCTTTTGTATTTCATCAAAGCGAGAATTTTACATTGAAATTAAAACTTTTGATAATTCATTCATTTGATTTGTGTGTCTTCTTTTTTTTTAATAATTAATAATGAAAATCTTACTTTTGTTGGAGAACATTGACAGCAGATGACATAACTGGTGTTCCATTAGTTACTGGTGTAGCTAATGATGTACTTGGAATTGTTATATATGGAATAGCTGTTAAATGTGGTGTAAAATCGAATGTTGTTGTCCCGGGACCAACAGCACCAGCTGGTAAACCAAACTAAAATAATTTATTTAAATATTCAAATGAAGATAATTAAGAGAAGAAAAAAAACCAAGATTACTGGTAAATTCGTAGCAATAGTCGATGGACTAACACCACGTGTAAATCTAAAATATTGATTTTTATCAACTGGTTTTGCTAATGTAACTTCAACAATTGAACCATCAATTTCTCGACCTAATTAAAAACAAAGAAAAAAAAAACATTATAAAAAAAAAAAAAAAGAATGTACCATTCATAAGATTCATTGCATGTAAAGCATCATCACGTTCTTTAAAATGAACAAATGCATAATCTTTTAATTTTTTAACACGTTCAACAGAATTTGATTTAAAACGTTGAAAAATTTCTTTAATTTGTTCTTCTGTTGTATTCATCATTAAATTTCTAACATAAAGTACTCGAACCTAAATATTCAAATAAAACATTTATTCATAATAATAATAATAATAATAATAATAAAAACATCAAATATTTATTTAATTACAGTTGACATAACATCTTCATCAACTTCTGTTTCAGGTTCTGCCCAATCAACAGCAATTTGATGTCCCCATAATTGAATTTTTCCAGGTAATAATTTTCTTCTAGCCATAGCTGCTGATCGATGACTTTCATATTCAACAAAAGCAAAACCACGATTTTTTGTTTTATCATGTGCACTTGGATAAACAATAACATCAACAACACCTTCAGTTACTTTACACATTTCATCAAGAATTTCTTCACGTTTTTTTGTTTTTGGTATTCCACCAACAAATAATCGACAATTATCAACAGATTGACATACACCTATTAAACGACTAGGACGAATTTCATAATTATTTAATTCTTTAACAGAACGTTTTGCATTATCACGACATGTATATGTTATAAATGCATAACCACGATTAAAACCTGAAAAATCCATCATTAAACGCATTTCATAAATTTGTCCACAACGTTCAAATAATGGAAATAATTCAGATTCAAAACAATCACGAGGTAATTTACCAACAAATACTTCACAACCACGACCAGGTGGATGACGAGTTGTTGGCCAATCTAAAATATTTTTTTAAAAATTTTATCCAATCAATAACTTTATAAGTAACTCTTCAGAAAAAAAAACAAGTCTTAAATATCGAGCTGTTGGTATAGCACACATTATACCGTACGATCTACCGACAATTTTTATTCGATTTGAATCCCATGTAGAGTTTGCCGGATCGAAAATTTTCGGGTCCGGACTCGGTCAAACTATACATGGATACTCTCAATGAAATTTTCTAAAGAGAATTGGAGAGTCATCTCAAAGATACAAGATACTTTTTCCCAGTTTTTTATATTCGATGACTAGCGTGCACCTTCCATTAGGGCCCGTCGGATCGGGTTCGAAAATTTTGAATCTGACGAACTCTAATTATGTGAGTATTCATTGTCAACAAAAGAATAATTAATTCATAAAAAGACTCATTTCAGCAAGATCGAAACAATATTAATTAAAATTCTTTCTCATATTAAGTTATCAACTAATTATATGCTCAATTGAGATTTATAAAATAAATGATATATCAATAAAAAATTTATCAAAAAAAATGATTATCTAATGAAGATTATCTTCTCTTATTTTTCATCATAAAAAAATTTTGCTTTTTCAAATTGAAACTTTCATTAGTAATGAATCATTATTATCTAATATAGATGATTCCTATCAAACAAAAAACAATAAGTTAATTGTAATGTAATTTGATCAGATTCTATGAAAATAAATATATACTTTAAAACTTATTCTTGTTTTTTCTTCATAGTAAAAAAATGTCAATGTAATGATAATTTATCTTAGAATAGAAGTTGTAAGAGAAAAAAAAAGAAGTTGATATTTTGAAATAGATGTGAATAATCGATAAATGAATATCTACCTGGTGGTGGTCCAGTTTTTCGTTGTCCATTTTCTTGTCTTACAGGATAACCATTATCAGCATTAATACTTGTAATAACTTCATTTGGATGTGTACCAATTATATTTGATGGTGAAACTTGAGGAAATGATATAAATGATTCTTCATTTGAATTATTTTTATGATTTGAATCAATAATTGAATCTTCTTGAGATAATTCTTGATCAATATGTGATGATGAAACGTTATTTGATTCAAGCTCCATGGATTACAATGACGACAAACTAGAAACATATATCAGATTAGAAGTTTCAAAAAAAAACATAGAAACCATCTGCTCTTGCCTTTTCTTCTTTTTTTTTTTTTTTTTTTTGTTTCTTTTTCAATTCTTTCTCAATAGAAAAAAAATATCAGAGAAGGATTATAAATCAAAGAGAAAAGGCAGTAAAACAAAAGGAAAGGTGCTCTCACTGTCTTTCTCTCTTAAATAAATTTTTTTTTTCGTATGCCGACATCGACAGATATAGATAAGGTACTTCTCTTCTATTCAATAATGATAAAACTAACTTCAAACATGTATATATATATATATATAGATGATGACATAGAGCAAACAAAACAATGGCGACCATTCCGAAAGCAATTCTCTTTTCTTTTCGACCGATCTTCAATTTCGATGATAAGACAACACACAAAAAAAAAAACTAAATTTGAAAGAGAAAGACAAATCGACGATGAAATCAAAAATCATATTTCAATCGATTAATCTATTAAAAAACGAATGAGAAATGTATGTTCGATGCCATAAACACCTGTTTCTTTCTCATATCATTTATCAATATTAATCCCGATATCATTCATTATTTTCATTTAGAAAATTAAAAAAAATTAATTAAACAATATAAAATGAAAAAGAAAACTTACTTGGAACAAAAACAAAACACTAATAAATCAAATGAATATTTAATTTTGGAAAATCGAATTTTGAATCACAATTATAAAAAAAAGAGAAAATTAAGAAACAATCTTCATCTCACATCCGCCGTTGTTTAACGGTCGGTATGTGGTGTTGGTCTAATCTTCTATCGACGATGAATGTGTGTGTGTGTGTGTATGTGTCTGTGTGTGCACAAATAAGAGAGCTTTTATCTTTCTCTTTCTCCCAAGCACGTGTAGTTGATCTCTTATTTCACAAGCAGTGACTATCTCTTCTATATAGAACACCAAGTCAACATAACAAATCATTTTCTATATTGACATTTTCATTTATACACTTATGAATTATAAAAATTTTCAAAATTCACTTCATTTTATTATCTATATTTCAAAAACAAAAAAAAAATTTTGAATTTTATTTTATTTCTTTTGTTTCAATTTAATTGAAAAACAAATGGAAAAATTTAATTGTGATTCATTGTTTTATTTTATTCCACGTGTTTGTTAAATAAATAAAACAAAACAAAAAAAAAGAAGAAGAAGAAGAAGAAGAAGAAATGGGTTAAAAGTCTAATGAAAAGACAGGAAATCAAAAGATACAAGTCACCGGAAATTATTCTTTTATTCACTTATAATTTGCAATAAATTAATATTAGGGTGTGACGATTTCTCTTGGCACAAATCGCGTGAAACATAGATTAAACAAATCAAATTGTTACAATGTTCATTTTGTCTTTTAATAATCATTCTATCTTGTATTTTCTTAGTTTCTTTATTCGGAGTAAATCATTTTTAGTATTGTGTATGCTCTGTATATATGTTAAAACAACAAATTTTTTATTTCCGTTGACCTTCTAAACTGGATTAATATGTGAAAGTTGATTTGTTTATATTCACACTTACTAGTTCGATCGGTGAATAGTAACACGTTGTCGATAAAAATGAACAAGAATGGCGATTCTCTCTTATGTTTACTATCAATTGTCATTTTCTTTTCCTTTTCTATTTATGTGAAAATCAGATGAATTCATTTATTATTATTCGTCACGTATTATTCCATGTCAGAAGAAAGAAAAATCAATCGTTCATTACACTTAAATTGAATTTAGTAAAAACAAAAAAAAAAATAACGACAATTAAAATATCTTCTTAATTAAATTGATCGAGTTTTCTCTGATTTTAAAAAATAAACTAAAATAAATTTGATATTTTTGTTTTATTTGCATAGAAGACATATTTGAATCCAACGAAAAGATTTTTGTCTGTATACTTTTAATGTAATCACTTTTTGCCTTCGGAGTAAAGAAAAGGTGATATTTGCACAGATTGTTAACCAATGCTGTCTGAAAGGGTTATTTTATCCTCGATTTCATCAAGTAAAGGTTGTATAAGGATTGATAAAATAGGGATTTTAACATGTCTACAATTTCTAATAATCATATCAACAGATCGAAATTTGAAAATTGTCAATATGCAACTTAGTTAAAATTCTTATTAGAACAGGATTCATATGAACAAAACAGAAGGAAGTTTTTATTTGTATCATCTTGTCTAATTTCAAATTCCGTTGTTTGAAATCATTTGAAATGATGTTCTTTCTTTCTAATAGGAATCATAATTATTACAAGGATAGATGATCATCATCATCATTTTCCTTTTATTCGCTATTGTTATAGTCTCACACCTCTCAATTCTAAGAATCATTTAATAATTGATTTTGCCAATGGAATAATAATTGAGTTAAATGAATAATGACATAATTAATAGCAATAATTAAATCAATAGTTGATAAATCAAGCACGATAATAGCATTTATTTTGATAGATTTTTATAAATAAATAGTAGTACATTGATAAAGAGATATCAATAAAAAAAAAGTATTCTGATTTTTCTATATGAATGAATACATGAAATATAGAAATTATTTTATAAATGAACATCTCAATCAGAGCTTTAATCTTATGATCTTGTTTATTTTATTTATGTTTAAAAAAAAATAATTTAGTTCAAATGTTCTATTATAAGAAAACTTTCCTATGGATGTTATGTTGTCAGATAGCTTGAAAAATTTTCTTTCTTACAATGATTAACAGATGTCTTCAGTTATATTCAACCTATAATTTCCATAATGTGGATCAATCATATATTTTGTTCTATCTTTAGAAGAAAGATCGTTCTATTTTGCTTGTATTTTTCTCATATATCAAAAGAGAACTTGAATTGACCTACATTAGTGGAATTATAGATTGAATCCAAATCGAAATAATTTATGGAAATATTGATCTCAATTATAGATGTTTTATTCGACAAAATAAGCTATTACAAAAATATTCATATGTATACATTTGAAATAATTTATTTAAAATAAATCAAATCGAAACGAAGATAAATATTAATTACCAAAAAACAAACTAAACAAATATATATTTATATGATTATCTATTTCTATATATTATTTTGGTGCTTTGAAGAAGACAGTAAGACCAATAATAATAGACATTAGTATGAGAAATGGCAACCAAGTAAGAAGAAGTCCGACAAAACTAAATAGGATAATTTTTAAAAAAATGATAATGAACATTGATACGTTAATATACCTGACAAATTTTCCACGAAAAAACATCCAAAAACAAAGTGAAATCATATTATGAGAATATTTTCGATTATAATTCATTGTATTTAATGCCAAAGCTACATGTGAATGACAATTATCACAACATAAATTATGCTAAATAAGAAAAACAAATAATTAAAGAAAAAAAAATTTAAAAAAAATATTATTTGAATAACCATTCGTTTTTTATATTCATCGGATGCTTGTTCAACAGCTTTGTCCCAAATATTTTGTACATTGTTTGTACCTAATGTTGTTGGAATACGATTAAGATCAAGTTGTAAATATCTTGTTGGTCGACCAAATGCCATATCATCTTCCTGCACATAGATCATTTTTTTAAAATAATTTATTAAGAAATATTTTTCTTAAACTTACTGATACGTAATAAGGTCCTGCAAAATCTCGAATAACTCCATCAGTACGTGCGATACCCATATGACCAATAAACGGAAAAAGCCATGTAAGAAGTGGAATCGGTGTCCAAACAATACAATGAGGATATCTCATACGAGCAGTATCAATTCGATCAGTAAAACCACTTGACATAAAATTATCGTCGTTCATTTCTCTTTATTTTTATTTTATATGATCTTGAATGAAAACAAAAAAATAGTTCGTAGATTAGTTCATTTCTATTCATTATACTCAGGACTGGTCCAAGCTAATCAATATCGAAACTATATAAAGACTTTTTTTCAAAGAGATCGTATGAAAAGCTTTCGGCTTCGCTAGGAAAAAAAAACCAAAGTTTTATTGATAGTTCGAGGGTGTAGGAGGTGTCACATGGCTGGTTTTATTCATAAACAAATACAACTAACGATTATCAATCGATGATAAAACATTATAAGATTATGTAAAATTTAACAAATCATAAAAAGAAATCATTATCTCAATTTGAAAGTTTCTTTTTGACGAAAATTATTTGCTATGAGAATTCATTTAGAACTAAGTCGAAGACTTCCTTTTTTTAGATAGTTTATGACTAAAATAGATGTCGTTAATTTTCGTGATTCGCTTATTATCGTATAACAAATATTCATATCATGCCAAAAGTCTTCTTGCCTAAACTCTTATCTTCATACAGTGATAAGAAAAAAGGAACATCGGGTACCCGTAATATACCGTTAAATAATATCCGATCGAATATATACTATATTAATTTGAATAAAATAAAAATCGTTTTTTTTCTATAGAACAATAAAAAATGAAATATGTTATGCTGCTTAGGTTAACCTTATGCTCACGATGGCATAGAATATTCGTCTCGTCAAATAGCGTCAAAGAACGGTTAGATGCATTTTATTTTATGCCGAATACTTTGATCAGTCTAGTGATCGTTGTAAGAAACGAGAGAGTTCAATGATTTGAAAATTTGTACTTTTCCATTCTACAAAAGAAGAAGATATGTACAGATATTTCTAACGACATTTATAATTTAGACACAAAAAACATCTTTAGTATCTAGTTAGTTATATAATCAATGTATATGTTTTATTGTCAATTAGTATTGCTTTCGATTTCTAATACGATAAGATTTACAAAAAAGAAAAACTAACATGCATGATATATGTCATATCTCATTTAATCGCTCGAAACTCATTGCAAGACGTAGCTAATAGTTTATGATCTCTTGTGTTCGAATCTATCAATCGTTTCTAATGTTAGAAAACAAGAATATTAAATGATGACTAGTATTATAGATTATTTTGCTTTACATTGGGATTAAGTTTGTGTTTGTTTTTTAATGTATTCAATGCTGCATTCATCGTATTTGACGAAGTTTTCTTTCTGAATATGAATTGTATTGATTTTTTTTTCATGTTTATGCCACAATCTATGCAGTAGAACTAGAACATAGAAATATGTTGAAGTTAAATATTGATAAATAGTAAACGCTTAATGCTATTGTTTTATTGGTAACCCAGGTCCAATGAAGTGGCTTTGTAAACGGCCTGAAACGGCGATTAACGATGTAAAACGTCGATAAACGGCGCCGTAATCTGTCATACCAGATTACGGAAACAAAATCGGGAGAAACGACGGCCATTTTCTAGCGATAGAAACGGCTCGTAATACGGTACGACGGATTACGGTGAAATAAGGCCAAAATCAATGCGGTAATTCGCTGTATTATAGCCGTTTCCAACGGCTGGAATGATCCTCCTGGGAAGAGCATAATGGTCAGATTGGATGAGTTTATCACATACATCGCAGTTATCACCTAATAGAAGCTTTATTAAAACACCGTCTAGAATAAAAATATTTTAGCATTACTATCTGTTATAATTTTCGATTACCTTTATCAGACAGATTTAAACGTTTTTTAAATTCATCAAATTGATCGGAACATCGTTTACACATATGTCGACGAGTACCATCCATTTAGACTTTCGTATTACACGTGATACAATTGGATTCACTCATATTTAGATATTGTGAACGGAGAAACCAAAAATAACCGTGCCAAGTATGTTTCTTTGAATTCGAACAAAGTCTAAACAGTAACAATAATATATATATATAAGAACGTAAATAACAAAAGATAGAAGACAAATAGTCAAGAACACGATATCGACTAAGAGAACGAAAGAAATAGATATGTATGCAATAGTAGAATAAGAAATTCATCAGTTAATCAAAAATTCGATTGACCTTAGTTGCATATTTAGAAATCTTTGTTTGGAATGCTGAGTCTTGAAATAGAAATTTTACTAGATATTTTCAACATAAGGCTATGGTCATGTGGAAAAATCAATTTTCGGCTTCAAAGTTCACAGGTGCAAAGTTCTCAACGAGATTTGTTAATTGTACAAGCTTTAGCTCGACTAGTATTTCTTTTCTCGAGATACAAATTTTGCTTTTTTACATGAGAGAATTTCAAATATTTAACATATGAAAAAATGCGAGATGGTAGAAAAGCTAAAACTTGCACTATGAACTAATCTCATTAAGAACTTTGTTCATGCAAAGTTTGAAGCCGATTTTCTACATAATCATAACTTTTTGTTTAAAAAGTTGAGTAAAGTTTCAATATAATGAAGACGAAGATTTGGAAAATCAAAGCATTCTAGACTTTTCCGTTACTGATCAGATGAGCATTGCCTAGATCGAAGAGCGATTTGATATATGGAGGTTTCTTCGTCAGTTTATGATCAGTTTGTTCGAATGACATTGGACTATTATGATAGTTCCTAATGAGTTTGGTCATATGCTTCGATTGAATGTAGTTGTGTATTCTGAGGAAACAGAAAGCACATTTTAATTTCAAGATGATGAAAACTATGATAAATAATTCCGAAATCATTGAGAAAAGCACAAATAATATTATCAAAAATACTCGCACTATTTTAAAAGTTTTTCATACTATATATATATATAATCAATCTAAGCTAGAAATGTTTGAAAATAAGTTTTTGGTCCTGATCTAAATGAAACTATTTGAGAATTAATTTGATGATCATCTCTCTTCAATCAAATACTGATTTGTTAGATAATTCGTTTAGAATCATAGAATATTTGACTCTCATCTTTCGTTTCGATGGAAACAAATTTTTATCTTGTAGTCGTGCATGTCCTATCTCTACAACGTCTTTTTTTCGTGGTCTCAGGCTAAATTTGGTCTCGCACATGTCTAATATTTTCTAGCATCCTCATATAAAAACTGTTATAAAAATTAAAAAAAGGGTTTGTCTTAAAATTAAAATAAAAAAGACTCGTTTAATTACTTTCAGAATTGTTCTCATTTTTATCTAATTGAAAATCAAATGCGTCAAGAATACTTGATATTGTTTTTGTTAAATATCGTTTTTTTACTCATAAACGTCGATAATTTCGTACATGAATTATATTAAGAAAAAAGTCAATTTCAATGTCATTAATAATTACCTAAACGTCTTAAATAATTGAAATTGTCATCATCTATATTAATATCAATAATTAATCATAAAAGACGAATAAGGATGTGGGTGTGGGTGTGGGTGTGGAATGAGGATGTAGATTCATCTTAACGCCACTCACACCCACACTCACACCCAAATAGCATCTAAAATTCCAGTTACAATCGCTCTTTGAAGTCTTCAATCACTTTGAAAAATTATAGTTTTTAAACTAGAAAATTATTGAATTGCTTTTTCTTTAAGACAATAATATTTTTTGTCTGTTGAGTACATTGCTTTACTATAATAAAATTTCGTAAAGATATCGTTTGAAGGTTTACATAACACGTGTTTTGTATTTTTCAAGACTCACTTACACTTTATAAGCAATGCCTAAAGTATACTCTACTCATGTGTCACCTATTTCGGAGAATTTTTTATGGTTGACGACAACGTTCTGTTTAATTCAATGTGTTTTAAGTCATCGAAAAATATTTGTTTTGTTGATCAACATTCTTTCTTTTCCTTATCATTTTCTCTGAATAAAAACAAAAAGAAATTACAACTATTCTTTGATAACGAACAACAAGAAAAAGAATTATTCAGATAAAAATCAACAGAATACTGTTACTTATTTAAAGAGAAAACTGTTTTTTTTTTCGTTGTTTCGAAACGATCGAAAAGTTAATGTATGGCTACCACCAGTAAGGACTTATCAACAAATTTCTACAGTCCAACAACAGATGGTAATCTAGTTCGAAATTTTGAATCATTTACGTGTGTATGGCTTGATCAAACTATTGACCAAACAGATGAAAGTCGACTAGCAGAACAAGAACTTCGTCGAATAATTAATCATTTATTTACTTGTAATGATGAAAAACAATGTGAACAATACATTCAAGATGTCACTCAAGAAAAAGTCGTTCTAATTGTTTCGGGCAGATTAGGCCGATCCTTAGTACCTCATATTCATGATCTTCCACAATTATCAGCATGTTATGTCTTCTGTGCTCAAGAAAAACCACATAGAGAATGGGCTGATCATTATCCAAAGGTAATGAACTATTAGATTTTTTTTTCTCATCTAAACAGAATTGTTTTCGTCAGGTAAAAGGAGTATTTGTTGATCTGGATAAACTTATTAGAAAACTATCAGATGATCAAATCGATAGAGATAAATTAGAAGAAAGTGCACAAATTTCAGTAATAAATCAACATTCTCAATCACTTGAAGAACGAAATGCAATTTATATGTGGTTTCAATTATATATTGAAGTATTGCTTCGTATGCATCATAAATTAAGTGACCGAAAAGAACTTATTGATCTCTGTAAAAATACTTGCACAGGGAACGATTTTGAATTAAATATGATTAAGGAATTTGAAACAAAATATAAACCAGAAAATGCAATTTATTGGTATACACGCGAATCATGTTTATATAGAATGTTAAATAAAGCATTACGTTTTCAACATTTTGACACGGATTTGTATATCAAAGACGTCCAACTAAATTAAGAATAGCAGTTAAATACATACGAACGTTTATTACGATTCTTTTGGATTATCAGTACAATTTTCAAGTTAAGTTGGTTTTCAACAACATTTTTCAACAAGTATCTTTGCCAAAATAATGTCATATATTATTTATAGATGAATGAATCTTGTGACAAATATATCTGTTTATTAGAAACTGGTAAAAGCTAGAACAGCTTGCAGAGATGCATCATTGTTAAAACTAAAGCATTGCCTACCGTACTGCAAATTTTCACCGAAATTCAATTACATTCTGACGAGGAAAGTCCTTAAACTGATAAATCGCTTTTGAGTCGGGACTATATGCATTATGTGAATCCACATGAGCTATGAATCCCTGAAAACAGTTCGTGCCCTTAGCTTATTCCTATGAAGATATTGCATTTTTACGGTATTTTTTTAATAAATACGATGGTTCTTCTCCGGAACACCAGAAAAGCTAATTGTCAAATTTCGACCCGAACTTTTGTGTCAGCATTGATCGCATTCCGCGGGTTCTGAACTCCTGGAGCTCTCGGAACTCAAGCAACGTTCGAAAGAATGTGGGTATGATGTGAGTGTGGGTTGCAGTTTTGGTTCTCTCTACACTCACAGCTACACCCATATTTGAATATCTACAGAAACAATTGTACTGCATATTTGTCATTTCTGATATTCCGAATTTCCGAATATAAGACTTCACATTTGTGGCTAAGCAAAGCATGATGATGTGAATTTCGCTTGAAACACTAGAGTTGATCTGTTACCTAAGTTTCAACGAATTCTTGAGTTCTTAAAGTTGCTTGAGTTCTGTGAATGAAGTTGCACTTTTGGGAGTTCTATGAGTTTAGAATCCCATAATCTGGATACATCTCTTGATAAGTATTTTGTTACTTCTTGTCACTCACCAACTTCATGAACTTTTATCTAAGAGAAAAAAAATCAAAAAGTTGAATAAACAGACTCTTTCTGAAAAACTTTTACGAACTAAACATTCAGAAACGAGAAGATCAATCAACGGTGGAGGCTTTTGAACTGGAAAAATTTGGTAGTAACAAATGATTTTTATTCGAACGTTCATTATGGATGTTCTCTACTTTATTTGCTTATCGATTTTTTATTACTGATATTGCAAAACAATTAAAAAGTGAATATGAAAAATTAATTCGAACGAATCGTAGTTCGGAAAATATTTGTGTTTATCGAGGCCAAGCAATTGGAAATAATGAACTTGAACTAATGAAAAATAGTGTTGGAGAATTTTTATCGATGAATTCATTTTTTTCAACTAGTCTCAGTCGTTCAACTGCACTTAATTTTGCCCTCTTATTACCAATACTTAATAATTTTCAACAACGAATCTTATTTGAAATAACAATAGATTCAAAATTACAAACAAAACCATTTGCATATGTTAAAGAAATGAGTTATTATAAAAATGAGGATGAAGTTTTAATTATGCTTGGTGCATTTTTTCATATAGACAAAATTTCTCATGATAAAAAAAATAATATATGGATAGCTTATTTATCATTGGCTGAAGAAAGTGATTATCGTTTAAAAGATATATTTGCTCATATGAAAGAAAAAATTGGTGAACAAACAAATTTAGCATCATTAGGTAAAATTCTTTTTGAAATGGGAGAATATGAACAAGTTGAAAAATGTTATCAACATATGAAATATGATGCACAACTTGATCTTAGTGCTGCACATTCTGGATTAAGTAAAGCTGCTTTAGGTCAAAATGATCTTATTAAAGCAGCTAATTATGAACAACAAGCATTAGCTATAAAAACATCGATTTTACCAAAAAATCACCGAGATTTAGCAGTTTCTTACAGTCGATTAGGAAATATTTATTGTAAACAAAATGATCATACTCAAGCTTTACAATATTTAAAACAAGCAATGAAAATTGAAGAAAAATTAGTTCCATTGGAACCTCTTATACTTGCTAAAACTTATCAGAGAATAGCAACTACTTATGTTGGTTTAGATCGTTATACTTTAGCTTTAGAATATTATAAAAAAGCTTTAGAAATTAGACAAACATATTTACCTCCTATTGATAAGAGTATGGGTTCGATATATCACAAGATTGGAAAATTACATTATAAACAAAAGGAATTTACTGCAGCATTACAATATTATAAAGATGCACTTGAAATTTACAAAAACATTTTACCACATAAACATCCAAGTATCGTTCAAATTGAAGAAGACATAAGCAAGTTCAAAAACAAATGAAATAATAATTGAATGCGAACGTTTTTTTTAAAATGTACTTTGAATCATCCATCATGTATTATGCAAATCATATAATTTTTAATTGTGAAGTGTGTTTCATAAAATAAACATATATAACAACAACGCTATAGCAATAATATTGTTTTTTTTTTCTTTTCCGTCTCTATCGTTCAAAACGAATTTCATTTCAACTTATACTTTAATAGTAAAAGCGATTTCAAAATTTATTTTTATCATCATAAATAATGCATATCTCTCTGTTGTTCGAAGAATATTTATTAGAATTATTTACTAATGAAAACAATTGATCCATGTTGCACATTTATTCGCACTACCATCAGTTATCCTGGTATTCATAACAACCGATTGTAGCACTTACGACTTCCAATTTCAAATATAAACGATTGCAGGGTGTTTTCTATTTAATTTCGAATTATTTATTAGAAAGAATTCAAATTAATCGAGAGGAAAACAGTTTCAATACATATTTTATTAATAAAATTTTTTATAACGACATCTAAAAATAAACTTTATCTCATAACTAGGGTGTGAGTCAAATATTCACTGACATACAGGCCCGAAACCACACCTACACCCATCACTACTCTATTCATATCTACACATCGACCGACACCCACACGCATATCCAAATGCACGCGAACACTCACAATCTCCTATACTCATTGACACACTGCGTATGAACACTTCGCAATCAACCCCATTTCATGAACGCTACTATCTCTGAAGGTCAAAATAAAATACTTATTTCTCTGAAGTCCTGACCTGCTTCAGAAAGTCTCTAGAACATCTTGTATGTTTCCATAGCATCTCGTAATATTGCCACATACTCGATAGAAATTGTCCACTATGGAGTGTGGATGAAGCAAACACAGATACTGATATCCTCATTTCGAGGATATACACGTTCCACGCCCACACTCGATTGAGAAAACTCGTGTTTTGTGTTATGCTATATAAAAGACAAAATTTTCACTTGGATTCTTATGAAAAATAAATTTCTTAAGTACAGTAAAATATTTAAGTTTTAATGACATCTTCAACTTTTCGATCAGAAAAGAAGAGCAGGGGGTATCCTTAGTTTTGTTCACACAGTTCTCATTCATTAAGAAGGATCATCGTTATCTGATTGAATTTGTCAATTATGACTGTTAATAATTTATTTTTCTTTCGATAGCTACTATTATTGTCCAATTGTGTTTTTTTTCTGAGATATATCCACAAACACATGCACGTATTTTCATTTATGACACTATATATATATCTTTCGATACCTATTTTGAAATACTATCATCCATAGTTTCCATCTTTCGATTTCTAATGTTTTAAGTGTATGTAAATCAATATGCTATTGCTCATATTTTATTAAATAATGAAATAATAATAAGCAAAATATTTGCGCACGAAGAAAATAATCTTTTAAATGTTCAAAAAATTTTGATTTATTATGAAAAAGTATGTAACCTATTTTCGAACAATTGCTTCGTGTTGTATTTCTTCTAAAATTGTGTGGAAACAACATCTATGGTTCCTCGTTCGTACCAATATCATCAAAGGAAAGAAAGAAAAAAAAAAGAAAAGATATACCTATAAATCAAAGAATACCACCTCTATATATAACAAAAACGTTTTGAAGAAGATCAATTCTGACCGAAACGTCAATATTCATTTAATTTAATATAATATTATTCATTTTAATTTATTACTATTTATAATTTTATTAAATTTTAACATAATTATTATATAATTATATTGTATAAAATAAATTAATGATGTAGAAAGAGAATTTACATTGATAAAATTGGAAAAAATAACCTCTCTAACGGAACTCAATATATTATTAATGTGAATAAATGCTTGTTCTATTTAAATTCTACATTAATCTATTGTTTTATCTGCATATATTTCAGCTGAGCATTGTGTAATTCGTGCATCAGTTTTCTTGTCACCATCGATTGTTTAATAAAATCAATTCGTTTTACTCTCGTATACACTCAAGTTAATATCGAATTACTCGATGAGAATTTTATATGTTTTTAGTCTATTCTTGTCCAGTATCATACACCTTTCGTGATAATATGGGATATGAGCATGTTTGCAAAAACAAAATTAAATTCGATATAAACTCAAAACTATGATATTTCATCAACAAAATACAATTTAAATATTCCAACAACAAAAAGTTTGAGTTTGCAGTGTAATGTATGCTGTAACATCTTCGAACGTATTACCTTAGTGTGATTGTCCAATAGAGTATGCTACTTGAAACGAATATTAATAATTAGCTACTTGCGTTTGATATGGTACTATTTCTTTCTCCTTCAATATGGATAGATGCCGATGCAAGATGATCTTGCAACAATCATTTTTGATTTTGGATAAATTTAAGACTAAAAAAGATTAATATTCGTTTTTGCATTTTCTTGACTAAGTTGTGTAACTATTGATGTGTCAGCCATCCATCTGGCATTCTACTGACATTCCGTAGAAAAAGAGAATTTTCAATAAAAAAGAGATGCATTTTTTTGCTTCTGAAATTCGAACAAAAGCTACCACGGGATTTAAAAGTCAATAAATTAGAACGCTATTAATCTGAATTCAATATAGACTCGAAAAATTCGAAAGATGAAAGCGATTTTCAGTTGTTGACATTTGCAGTCGTGTTTTTTTTTCTACCGAGCTCAGAAAAAGAGAACTACAAACAACAGACAAAAATGACGGGGTCTACTTCAAAAGTACTTGACTGTGATATCACTTTACCTGAATACTCGTAGATAAAGAAAATAAACAAAAAAAGACGTAATAGGGCGTACATATTTATGAAACAAGAAAATATCACAAATTCAATTCAAAATAAAGCTTTCAAAGTTTCTTTTCTGGAATCTATGACAAAAATTTCTATCGCGCTATCGAAAGTCCTTCTTAGGAACACAACAATACTAATTCTGATCAATTATAAAGACTTAATATAACTCGGAATTCAATTAGAATTGAGTAATATACAAGAAAAATTGCACTGGAAAAAAATTTGAATCTTGAATACACTACGCTTTAGTTTTGATGATTTTTCATAAAATTCCTCTAAAAGTAGGGAAACTGCATCTCTTTAAAGTTACATGACGTGGCGAGTTTTTACAAAATTTGTTAAAGTTTGCCACTAAGTCATCTTCAAGGTGACCAGAGATGCAGAACCTATTGCTGCGTGCGAACGAGTATTTGGGAAACTTTTTTTTCTGACAAAATTTCGAGATCCTTATCGAGAAAAATCGTGTTTTATTGATTTGCTAACCGGCTACGTCTTAGAAATGCTTTTCCCATCCAAGTAAATTTGATCACTTTGACGACAGATTCTGCAGTTCTGCAGCCGAGATTCTTGAAAATCGTGTTTAAGTTCATACTCGAACCTGCCTTGTTGTTTCGCTCAAACATTTAATTTTTAAACTTTTATGTTTGCACGTGCATAAGTCTGTCACAATTAATTTTAGTATTTTTAAATTTCGACTTCAATAAATATTGATTTTAGCTAATTCGATCAAATACCAAATCAAAATAATTTACTAAAAAATGTTTCGGACTGGAATTAGTATCTATTTGGTTCTCTCAAAGCATACTCAAGATCACTTTTCAACCTTGTTATTCACCTTATTGATTGAAAGTATATTGATCCATCCAAATAAGTCAACATTATCGACTATTTTCCTTTAAAATCTAATTTTTCCCAAAAAAAGAGGTGGAGTGGGAAGCCTGATAAAACATATTGATCTTAGGTTAGATTACTTCCTATCAGCGTACTGTTTTAGAAATTCAAATCGTACATGAGAACTGTTTAAATAGATTAATCTTTTAAAGAGACTTTTTCAATACAATTTATTGTTATCAGAAGAACTTCTTAATAGTTCCTTGAGTCGAAATTATTACAGAATGGCGACAGGCTAATTCTGAATCGTGATAAAAGTGCATGTAATTACGCAGTAATAATGCGCACTCATATGCGAACATCGGTGAAATAACATACGTGCTGATGTGCTAATGTCTGAGCTATATTTAGAATGACATATATAGAGATAAAAGCATGCACATGTTAATTATTTCAGCATGCGAAAGAACACACAAATTCTTCTTTTTAAAAAATTTGCAAAGTAGTGTGTGAAAACTGCACATTCATATTCAAGAAAAATTTTCAAATGATCGAAAAAAACGAAGCTTATGTACAGAACACATATAAGCACGTAAAATTCATGTTTTCGTATAAGATTCAAATATATATACTATACTTTATTTAATAAGTTGAACTTTTGCATTATCTACGTCAATTCGAATTATGTTCAAAACTTTTTTATAGAATAATCCTGCAATAATTGCTGTACATACGTATATATTATTGTTAAAAAAAAAACGTTTGAGAATTCGAAGATGTAAAATAAACAGGTCTTTTGAGTGATTATATGATGTGTTCGTAAAAGAGGAACACTAGTTTTAACGAACAATACGCAACCACATTTCGATAAAAATCGATACATTTTTTTACTTTAATGACATATTCAAACTGATTGACGTGCTTTACACACACAGCATTGTGTGAGGGCGAGGACGCGGTGATAAAAAATGAAAATATTCTCAAATAAAAACAACCCTTGTAGAAGCCTATATATACACTACTAAATAATAAAATTTTGTGCATTAACACAAGATTATTTTCATATTAGTTCTCGTAAACACATTTTTATACGTACATGTACAGTTTGACAAAGTCTTGAACATGATACGAGCATACACTGTTAATATTAGCAAGTATTTAGTTATCTGTTGAACAATATTTATCTATATCTAGTGACATCTACTTGATAGTTCATTATTTATTTTATCATTTTATTTATTGAAACGTAAACAAATGTAAAAGCTATTTTAAAAAAACACTTGTTTAAAATGAATAAGAAATTTATTTTTCAATGGATTGATTTGAACAATCAATGGAATATATT